TCTTTTCCGTCCTCCCTCGCTCTGCCCGTGGCTATTTCTCATTTGCCAGCTCTTTGTTTTTCTGTCCAGCTCTCAGATAACCATTTTTGCATTCTTCCCTGTAGCCCCGTGGTATTTCTGCTGTCTCTCTCTGTAGTATCTTGTCACTGTTCCTTCTGGACCCTGTAGGATGCCACAAGGGTATTTCTTTCACCATCTTTATCCTGTACCCTGTATCTCACTTTGAATTCCTCCTCCTCTGCTCCATCACCTGTAGTTGTTGCCTGTGCAAAGAGAAGTCTCAGCGTTTCTCCTGGGCTTTCTAATGGGAAAAAAAAACTTGAAAAATTGTGGAAATAAAAGGGAAAATCTTGGAAAGGGAGGAGAAAACTTAAAGTGGAGAAATGTGGAAATGAAGAGGGGAAACTTGAAAGAGAAAAAACAGAAATAAAAGGAGCCTTGGAGATAAAAAGTGGGAGATGTTGGAAATAAAGTGGGGGACTTGGAAATAAAAAGAGGAAAGCGAAGAAAGTGGAGCACTAGAAAATAAGGGGTAAAGCTGGGAAAGGTGTAAAATTTGGAAATAAAGGGGGAAATGGGAATTAGAGGAGAAAAAAATGGAAAATGAAGGACAAAAGTGAAGAGGAGAAAATTGGACAACAAACTTTATAGGGAAAATAAAGTAGAAAACCTTGGGGACAAAGTGGAAAAACTCAGAAACAAAGAACACTGCCAGGAAAATCAGCTCCTCACCTGAAGGGGCTGCTGGATGGCACAAGGACGCCCCAACTTCCCAGAGAAATGGGGACAGAAACTCTGGAGAAAGTTTTTCTCTCCTGAGGAACCAGGGTGATGATGTCTTGCAAGCATGAAACAAGTTTTGGATGTTTTTAAACTCAAGGAAGTTTTTCTAAGCCTTCTGATATTTACATTCTTGTAACAAACTTTCTCACACACTTTCTNTTCCATGCAGCAGAACAGGAGAAATGTTTCTCCTCTGCCTCATGGCTTCAAGTTGTTAATATTAAGGAAAAAAACCTGAAAAGAGTCTGTGGAATGGTTGTTGTTAAGTTTGATGAAATTTTGCCAAGTCCTGGCTGGAGCCCCGTGTGCTTTGGCTCAGTGCCGGAGAAATCCTCGAATGCCAGGAAGGTTTGGGCTGGGAAGGACAAGGACCCCAAAGCTCAATTTGTTCCCAGGCTTGGACCAGCTTGCTCAGAGCCCCATCAAACATGGCCCTGAACACTTCAGGGCATGGAGAAGCTTCTGTGGGATGCCCATGCCAGGCCTGCTCACCCTCACAGGGTGGATTTCTTCCCAAAATCCCATCCAGCCCTGCCCTCTGTCATTCCCTTGGTTCTGTCCCTCCAGACCCTCATCCCAAGTCCCTTGGGTGGTGCATGTCATGTTAGCCAGGCAGGATCAGTTCTTCTCACACCTGAAACTACAAACTGACAAAATAATGACAAAATCCTGCTCAGGGGACAAAATAATGACAATATTCTGATCAGGGGACCAGAGGAGGAAACGCTTGGCCAAACAATGAACGACACTGTCCAGCATTTACAGGAATGAAATGTTCACATTCCTGACTCAACACAGCAAGGACCAAGACAGGAGGGTGCATTTTTAGGTACTGATGACTGGGATATCTTCTGTTCTGTTATTTTTCACTTATATTTTCTCATTCATCTCTCCTTCTTGGTGAAAGTGGGATGGATAAAACTGAAGGGGATGTAGCTCATTTTGGAGTGTCTGCCCTGTATCACTGTGTCAAACTCAGCCCACACTGCAGCTGGGCCTTTGGGAGGATTCTGGAACTCATCCTGACCCAGCTCCTCCCCAGCAGCTGCCTCTCACTTTGCCCCCTGCCTGCCTGGGCACCAGGGAGCTCCTGGAGCTTTTCCCAGTGTCACAGGCACNAGAATTATCTTACCATGACCTTTGCTAGTGCCCTTGTGTAGCATCTTGGAAGCATCCTACAGATAAGTGCACTTTACTCCTGAGAGTATCCTACTCCAAACTGACCCCTGTCCTGAGAGTATCCTACTGCAAACTGACCTCTGTCCTGAGAGCATCCTACTCCAAACTGACCCCTGTCCTGAGAATATCCTACTGCAAACTGACCCATCCTGAGAATATCCTACTGCAAACTGTCCTGGAATACCCTACTCCAAACTGACCCCTGTCCTGGAGCATCCCACTCCAAACTGACCCCTGGCCTGAGAATATCCTACTGACCCCTGTCCTGGAATATCCTACTGGAAACTGACCCCTAGCCTGAGAATATCCTACTGCAAACTGTCCTGGAGCATCCTACTGCAAACTGACCCTGTCCTGGAGCATCCCACTGCAAACTGACCCCTGTCCTGAGAGTGTCCTACCCCAAACTGACCCATCCTGAGAATATCCTACTGCAAACTGTCCTGGAGCATCTTACTGCAAACTGACCCATCCTGAGAGTGTCCTACTGCAAACTGACCCCTGTCCTGGAATATCCTACTCCAAACTGACCTGTCCTGAGAGCATCCCACTGCAAACTGACCCCTGGCCTGGAGCATCTTACTGCAAACTGACTCCTGTCCTGAGAGTGTCCTACTGCAAACTGACCCCTGTCCTGAGAATATCCCACTGCAAACTGACCCCTGGCCTGGAGCATCTTACTGCAAACTGACCCATCCTGAGAATATCCTACTGACCCCTGTCCTGGAATATCCTACTCCAAACTGACCCCTGTCCTGGAGCATCCTACTCCACACCGACCCCTGGCCTGACAATATCCTACTGATCCCTGTCCTGGAATATCCTACTGCAAACTGACCTGTCCTGAGAGCATCCCACTGCAAACTGACCCCTGGCCTGGAGCATCTTACTGCAAACTGACCCCTGTCCTGGAGTGTCCTACTGCAAACTGACCCCTGTCCTGAGAATATCCCACTGCAAACTGACCCCTGTCCTGAGAGCATCCCACTGACCCCTGTCCTGGAATATCCCACTGCAAACTGACCCCTGTCCTGAGAATATCCCACTGCAAACTGTCCTGGAGTGTCCTACTGCAAACTGACCCCTGTCCTGGAATATCCTGCTGCAAACTGACCCCTGTCCTGGAGTGTCCCACTGCAAACTGACCCCTGTCCTGGAGCACCTCGGGAGCTCTGTGATAATATCCTGGTACTGTTGTATCCTAGCAATGACCCTGTAGTATCTTAGTNGGAAAACCTGAGGAAAAGCACAGCAAGGGAATTAATGGGAAAATTTGAGGAAATTGAGGGAAAACACACCGAGGGATTTGAGGAGAAAAATGGAGGAAATTGAGGAAAAACACAGCGAAGGAACTGAGGAGAAACATTGAGGGAAACACTGCAAGGGAAATGAGGAGAAATATTGAGGGAAATTGAGGAAAAACACAGTGAGGGAGTTGAGGAAAAACATTGAGGAAATTGAGGGAAAACATACCGAGGGAATTGAGGAGAAAAATGAAGGAAATTGACAAAAAAAAAAAAAGAAAAAAAAAAGACCAAGGGAATTGAGGAGAAACATTGAGGAAATTGAAGGAAAACACACCGAGAGAATTGAGGACAAAATTTGAGGAAATTGACAAAAAACAAACCAAGGGAATTTCATTCCCTTTTCATGGGAAAAAAGCAGCAGCAGGAACTGAGACCTAAAAATCATGAGCTTTTGGGAAGTTTAATATAAAAAATCCAGTTTTTCTTTAAAGAAAGTGCTTGTGTTACGGAAGTTGTGTGGGTTTGGGCAGGGAGCTGAGTTGTCACTCACCTTTCTGGATCCAGGCAAAAAATCCACCAAGGCCTGAGGATCACTGAAAAAACAGAAAAAGGTTTAAGGAGGTAGTGCCAGTATCTAATTTAAAAGTTAATGTCAATAAATGCTACAACTAATGGTGGACACACATTTATGGTCCAAGAATTATGTTTTATGACCAATTTAAATGATCAAGTGGGTTCTCAGAGGCCAATTTTTGCCTCCTGTATCACTCATACCTTTTTCTCCTTTCCCCCATAATTATGGACAGTTTCATGATCAGAACAAGAAATTAAACCATTTGTCAAAATATTGTTTGGGCAGCAAATGCAGCCCCAAATGCCATAGCTCTGGGTAAAATAACTGAAAAATAGAGTTTATTCCAATTCCATCTTTATTCTTTGTACTCTTGGGGTGTTTTCAGACCTTTGGAGGATGTTTTCTACCCATTTCAGGACTTTCCAGCCCTTTTGGAGGACACCTCAGGGGGGTTTTGGCTGTGGGAGATCCAGCGCAGCAGCAAGGAAGCCTTGATGGAGATGAGGGTGGTGGAATCCCCTTTCCCACCCCAAACTTGTGGCACTTACTAAAATACATCTGGCACGCCCCAGCTGTTGTTGGCACCTCTGTCAGCTGCAAAGAACAGAGAGAGAAGGTTGTGTCAGGAGAGCAGGGGGCTGGTGGTGATGGTGATGATGATGGTGGTGGTGGTGATGATGATGATGATGACCAGACACCTCAAGAGGAGGCTCCACTACTCCCAAGGGCATCAACCCACAACCAGGAACCTGGAGAAGTTCCAGGGTGATTGCTCATCTGTCCACTGGATGGATTTCACTCTGAGTTCTCCCAGTAGGAGCTCACATTTCATTCTGAAACCCAAACCAGCAGGTTTTTGCCTCATTTTCAGCTCACCAAGGGGCACTGGGGCCTTGCTGGCTGTGCCCGGTGTATCCCACACCTGGTCCTGGGATCCTCAACACTGGGAGCACCTGGAGCTGGATGCTGGCAAAAATTCACCTTTAACATCTCTAATTTATGCACTTTCATCCCTGAAATTCAACCGTGGTAAAATGGATTTGGAAGGATTTGAGGATTTTCTGATGACAACCTGGAATCAGCACCAAGCCACCTCCTCCTAAACCCCTTTTGATGAGCAGATCTGAGAAACTCTGCTTTTGGTGTTTTCTTTCTTTTCCTCAGATCTGAGCTGGACTTGGAAGTGCAGCAATATGAAACTGCTAATAAAAATCACAGAAAACAAGAAACATCCACTACAACAATAAACTCTACAGATAAAAATATGTTCCACTATCATCCCCCAAAATGATATTGATGAAGATTTGCCCCCTTGTCATTCCCCAGTGGGGGGGATATGTGCATTAAAGTGTTTTGTTGCTACCTTGATCTCTGTGAGAGGAGCTGAGTGAATTAAAGCCAGTGATCCCACATGAGGGATGGCAGCCTCTGACCTCAGGGCTGTTCCATGGGGGCTCAGAAATCACATTGGGAAGCATGAGGGCAAAACACCCTTAAATTAGACTCAAAATAGTCCAGATTATTTTCTCTGATTCCAAAGGAGAACAGTTCTCACGAATTAAGGTGCAGGAGTGAACACCAGGGCCTGAAAATAACCATTAAATAAGGCCTTGCAGGGGTCAGAGTTCTCCCTGTAAATAGAAATACCTGGTATTCCATAAATCAAAGTGCTTACTTTGCTCTGGGGCGTTCAGGGAGAAAAGAAAACTCCATGGGCGGCACCTGGCCATGGCTGAGGGCAGAATTCCCTCGCTGGCTACGTGGCCATTTCCAAGGGCCACCTGGTTATGTCACAGGGCTGCATCAGCAGCTCTGAGGGCCACGTTCTGTGGTTGGCAACCACCCCAGGGCCCAGGTCAACATTCCCTTGTGGCCACTCTGTCACGTTGGGCCAGGTTCCGTTGCCATGGGCGAGGAGCAGCAGGGACGCCCTGTGCCCCAGCTGTGAGCAGGGGGATCGCCAATAAAACGGCTTCAGAGTCAATCAGAAGTGGAAGAATAAGAGATCTGATGTGTTTTCCCTGTTGTTAAGGCAGAACAAAGCAGTCTCCTTTTAGCCTGGAGAAAAGGAGGCTCAGGGGTGACTTTATCACTCTCACAGCTCCTGAAAGGTGCCTGTGCTCAGCTGGGGCTGGGCTCTTTCTCCAGCAGCACTGACACAGCCAGAGCACACAGCCTCAAGCTATGTCAGGGGAAATATAGGTTGGATATTAGGAATAAGTTTTTCACAGAAAGGTGATAAAGTTCTGGAATGTTCTGCCCAGGGAGGTGGTGGAGTCCCCATCCCTGGGTGTGTTTAACAAAGCCTGGAGGTGGCACTGGGTGCCAGGGTTCAGCTGAGGGGTTGGGGCTGGGTTGCACTCCATGATCTCGAAGATCTCTTCCAACCTGCTCATTCTGTGATTCTGTGAAAACCAAAAGACAACAACAACACCCCATGGAGTGATGAAATGCTGCCTCAAATGGCCCCTTCTCACCCCAAGAATATTTTGTATCAGGCTGAGAGGAATGACAGATTTGTCTTTACAAGCAAGCTGTGGGTCTGCTGGTAGATAAAACCAGCACTGAGAGGTAAAAGAAACAATGGGAAGGATTCCACTGATTGATGAATGGAAAAAGATATTTGCTTTTACAAACTGTAGGTTGGCTGATGGATGAAATTGGATATTGAAAGATGAAATAAACTATGGGGAAAAGCTCTAAATTCCATAAGAATTAAAAATTATAAGGGAGGGTTATACATGAGAGGGGAATCTTTGGTATCAGATGCTTTGGGAAATCTGAATCTCTCAAGAACCTCAGCCAGTGGGGAAAGAGAGAGGGAAATGGGATAAAAGGGAGGCTGTGTACTCCAAAAATATGAGAGACCCCAGGGGAAACACCCCATGGCCTCTCCCTTTATTCGAATAAAGTTACAGGACTCCTCTGTCTCCTTTTTGGACATAAACCTCTGGTGTTCGTGGATTCATTTTCCTGACAAGGTTCAGTCAAAACAGCTCCTCCCTGAAGCCACAGAGAGGGTCCCTCATCTTGCAGCTTCCCTGCACCTCCAGCATTCAGAATTTAGTAGCTTTTAATTAAGTTTCACCCCTTTCATGGCCAAACTGCATTCATAAGATGATTTCCACCCCAGAGCCCTGTCCAAGGGGGATATTTTGGAATATTTGGTTGTGAGATGAGGGAACAGTGGGGTTCAGCAAAGGGGTCACATGAGAATGACGCCAAAATCCTGGATTTATTTCCACAATTGGCCTTCCATGGCACTTCACACCTTGTTAAAGTAAAACCTGGTCACTGGAGCAGTGGGAAATCTACTGGGATCCACAGGGAAACACCCTTGGAGAAACCACCTTAATGCAGCTGATTAATTACCACCATTAAATCCATATCCATACATATAAATACATGCTTTATATACATATAATGCATTACAGTGTCGTTTAATTAATTAATTGCAATAAATATTCAGAAGTTTTGAGCCTGCTGGGGTGTTTTGAACAAATCCTGCCCTGATTCTTGTCCCCAGATTTATTTGCAGTCTTTGATGTCATTGATTTGAAGGATTTGGGCCCCTCTCAAACTATCTGAGGTGACCCCAGGTAGATTTGGGATATTCCACAGTTCTGAACATGGGAAGGGAAAGGCAGAAAAAATCAATAAAGGGAGGGAGAAAAGGGAATGGGTGGAACAAAAGGGAAATGAGGGAGAAGAAGGGAAGGAGGGAAGAGGCAAAGGGGAAAATGGAAGGGGAAGAAAAGCAAAGGGCGTCAGTGTATATTTATGTTTATATTGATTATGTTTATATTTATGTTTATATTGATGATATTTCTTTCTACTTGTTGCTTTTGTTCCATTTTGCTTTTTTGGGAATAATGTTGAAGAACTGTGGAGTTACTTGTGCAGTTTTACCTTTTTCATGCAAAGGTTGCTGACAAATTACAAAAAAAGGAAAAAGAAAAATAAAAAGAAGTGGAGAACAAACCTTTTTTGCCTTGTTGTTTCACTCCAGCACTGCTGGGTTCTGCTGCCCTGGAGCAGGGGGGATCTCCCCAGCCCTGCCCTGCTGGTACATCCAGCTCCAGGACATGGGAGCTGTCACCTTTCCCAGCCCCTGGGCATCTCCAGGGACAGAGATCTCCCTCCAAACCCTGCCTGGGGCTGCTCCAGCTCAGTGCTGCTCTTCGACCTTCCTCCCCAGCCCTTGGCCTCCATGGGTGCTCTCAGCCCCCTTGACCCAGTATGTCCCTCCCTGGGCTCTGTTAAAGCCCTTGGGGTGCTGGGGGTGGAAATGGGGATTCTTTAATAGAAGTCTATGGCTGTAAACTTTGGAGTGAAACAAAGGCAGAACCCATCCTTTAATTTAGAACTCTGCCAGCCCCCCTTCAGCTTTGCCCTCTGTGG